CCCAGCCCCGCCCCGCGCCGCCATGGCGGGGTCTGGCCCGGCCTGGGTCCCCAGCGCAGGCCCAGGTCAGCTCTCGGGTTCCCAAGGTTGGGAAACCCCTGCTCCGTAATGCTCATCCCGCAATTTCAAAACCAGAGAGGTGTGGGGGGCCCGGCTGGGATCCCAGCTACTGGGGAGGCTGAGGGAAGGAGGGTGCCGAGTTCAGCCCCTCATGGGCATCTTGCACCTTACCAAGACCCTGACTCTAAATAAAAAAAGGAAAAGGCCCGTGTGCGGCTCAGTGCGAAAGCCCCAGGTTCAATCTCAAAAAACAAAAGTTAAAAACATTCCACTCCTCCCAGCTATTCCTTTGAAGGCTGTGTTCCTAAGTCAACTTAAAAAGGAGAGGGACTGAGTCGGAATCTGAAACCGAGGTCACAATGCGGGGCTCAGACACGTCCTCCCACACACAAGGACCGGCGGACCTCGGAGCACCATTGTCCGGCCCGGTCCTGATTACACACGACTGTCACACCCGGCTCCTCTACACTGCCTGACACCCTAGGGCTGCTGGCTGCATACCTAGGGAGGCTAGCACAGACGCTGGCAACCTGCCAGGGCCGCTCAGGAGGCTGAGGCAGGAGGACCTCAAGTCTGAGGTCAGCATGGGTTAACTTAGTACGACCCTGTCAAAATTTTAAAAGGGCTAAGGGGTGTGGCTCGTTGGCAGAGCGTTTACTTAGTGTGTACCAGGGCCAGGGATCCAACCCTGGTATCAGGGAGGGGAACATGTTCCATAAAAATGATGACGGGCCACCTTTAGGACTGAGCTCCCACTATGCCCCAACCAGACCAGCTCAAATGCAGAGCCGAGTCAGGCATGGAGGCGCACACCTGTCATCCCAGCACTCGGGAGGCTGAGGCAGGAGGATCGCTTTCAGTTCAAGGCCAGCCTGTCCAAGTGGAGTCACTGACACTAACGTCCTGTGTCACTGCAGTGGTCCCCACTGCTGATCTGACCTTAGCAGGATGGAAGTAGACAGATAACAGCCTCATTTCCCAACCCCAACTGCCACTGGCCAAACTACGCACATTCCTCTCCCTCGGTCTTTATGCAGAGAGTAACTAGCAGTTTTCCGTGCCACTTCCCTGTTCCCACCTTACAGGAAGAGTAACTCTGATGATTTATTTGTGTTTTGCACTTATGTTCTGAGACTCAGTCTGGCTGGCCTGGAACTCCTGCACTTAAGAGATCCTCCTGCCTCAGCGTCCTCAGCAGCTAGGCCCACAGAGGTGCTCTGCTCTACCCTGCTGGAGCTTGAACAGCTCTGAGCTACCTTGCGCCTGCGCCACCAGGACACTGGCGTTCAGCTGCCACTCGACGTCGCCCTCCTCCTCAGCATACTGCAGTGACCTCTCGCCATAGTACTGGGCCTGCAGGGCCTGGTCCAGCTCCAGGTAGCAGCGCCCGATCTCGTGCAGCAGCCAGGTCTTCTCCAGCGCAGTCTTGGCCAGGGGGATCTTCTCCTCCCACCTGGGGGAAACCAAGTCAGCGCTTCCCCCACTCCTGCCCAGCCCAGGGGCAGAAGGGAAGCTGCTGCAGCGCCAGGCCAGGGCAAGCGGGCAGCATGAACGTAGAGCAAAACAACCAAAGTGCTGGGCGTGGTGGCATAGGCCTTCAATCCCAGCACTCTAGGAGGCTGAGGCAGGAGGCTCTCTGTGAGTATGAGGCCAGCTTGAGCTACACAGTGAGTTCAAGGCCAGCCTGGACTACACAGGGAGACTTTGTCTCAAAAAAATATATATAGATATAGATATACAGATGTGTGTGTGTGTGTGTGTGTGTGTGTGTGTGTGTAGTTAAGAGAGAAAAATCGAGGGAGGAAAAACCTTAGAAGGAAAAACAAAACTATCAACAAAAGAGTAGACTTACTACTTGTCTTTAAATAGCAGTACTACTTTATTCTGCTACTTTTCTTCTTTCTTTCTTTCTTCAGCCCTGGGGACTGAACTCAGACCCTTCACACTGAGCTCCATCTCCAGCCTCTTAATTCATGCTGAGGTAGGACCGTGCCAAAGTTGTCCAGCCTGGGCTTGAACTTGTGACCCTCCTGTCTCAGCATCCCGGAGTGCTGGGACTCGGGTGCTTGCCAACTCACCCAGCTCTGCCACCCCTCTTCTGTATCTCAGATTGGCATTTAGACAGCACACACATCAGTATTGTGAAGCAGTTTTGGGTAAGGAGCTACTAAGGGTGAATGCACACAGACACTGAGACGGGAAAGCAGGTCACACAGGGCCACAGCGGCCAGGACAGCATCTCCCCAGGAAGCCCAGGGCTCCAAGGTTCCCCAGGGCCAAGCGGACCCTGTCCACCTGACCAGAGTCACGCATCTCCCTGGGGGCAACAGCCTAAGGGTCCTGTGTTGGCAAAAACCAACTCCGAAGCTGCAGTTCCAATCCCCAGGGAGAAAAGAGGCCAGATCGCCCTTAGAGGACACAGGGAGTTCGGCTGACTTCTGTGAGACTGGTGATCCCATTACAGGCGTGGACCACCCCGGCCGGCTGCTGGGAAACCCAAGGAAACCCTCATTCTGTCACCTCATCTCGCTTAGCTGAGGCTGAGAATAAAGTGGCGTCCAGGGCTGGCAGGGCCAGAGCGCCAGGCACAGGGGCTGCCCCGTCCCCTCACTCACGTGTCGATAGCCTGCTGGAATTTCCCGATGCGGGCGAAGACCCTGCCGATGTTGTCCAGGGCCCTGGATTTTGCGTCAGGGAGGTTGCTGTGGGAGCGGAGGAGCAAGCCACTCAGCGGGAATCTGCGCCTCTGCACAGGGAAAGCAGAGGAGACAAAACCCTGGCCTCTGAGTGGTGGCGCATGCCTGTCACCTGGGAGGCTGAGGCAGGAGGATCACTGTTCATTTGAGGCCAGCCTGAACTACACAGTGAGAGCCTGTCTCAACAAAAAAACAAACAAAAAACAAACCCTGGGCCTCAGGACTTGGGCCTGAGCTGGAGGAGGATGGGCCCAGGCCAAGAAGGCTGTGGTTTGCAGACTCCCTCCCAGTGATCCTCCTGCCTCAGCCTCCCAAGTGTCTGTGCAGAGGTCACAGTATGTGCCCCAGGTCTGGCCAGGGGCAGGAGGCAGCTGGGCAGGGGGAGGGCAGGCATCACTGTCCAGGGCGGGCACTGGAGGGCTTGGCTCGGCACAGGCTCTCCCCGGCCTGGGCTTATCCTTCCCTTGGCCTCAGCTCAGGGCCTGTCCTGGGAGACGCGGTGACCCAGTTGTCCCTGAGGACCCAGAGGCACACAAGGGGAGCAGGTGGGCGGCAGGGAGGGAGGGGAGTGGGCTTCTGACCAGTGTCCCTGCAGGGGTGGAGAGCTGGGGTGGGCAGGAGAGCAGGGACCCTGAGCTGCAGGGCTGAAGAGCCGGGTCCTTGTGGCCCGAGGCAGCATCACACAGCCTAGATCTGCTCAGCTCAGGAGACTGGAAACTGAGACCCACAGCCTCCGCATCTGCTCCGCTATCTTGGCCCAGGGTCTCTGTCCCACTCAACAGAGGCCAAAGCTGAGCCCGGGAGGGCAGAGCCAGAGACCCCATGGAGGGTCACCCGAAATTCAGGCTGGGGGGCAGCGTGTCCTCCCTAGGGGCTGCAGGGACAGTGGGACTGGGGAGGTGGGGTCGGGAGAGGCAGTGTCCCGGAAACCACAGCCCCTGGGAGGCCCAGTGCTACTGGGTTGCTAAGCAGGTCCTGGTTCCACTGCATGCTGTCCCCAGGCCCCTACGCCATGCTGGGGGTGTAGCCCGCTGTCCCCGGTTCTTGCCCACAACCTTGGGATCAGTGTCCCTTCCACCTGGGCTGGATGCTGTCAGGTTTTGGTCATTTGTTTTTATTTGTTCATTGTTATTTGTACTGGAGATTGAACCCAGGGCCTGTGAGCTAAGCTACATCTCCGGCACTTTTTATTTTTTACAGACAGGATCTTGCTAAGTTCCTAAGCTGCCCAGGCTGGGTTTGGACTTGCAAACCTCCTGCCTCAGCCTCCCGAGGGCTGTGATGACAGAAGTGTCACAGTGCTTATGGGACCTGGTCCCCCACCCACTCAGTGCCACCTTGAAGCCACCTCCAGGCCCGGAAAGCCTCTCTCAGTCCCCGTGATCCACTGCAGGAGCTTTGGGTTGACATCTGCTGGGAACTGACTCAGTGTCTGGTCACTGCTGTGTCCCCTATGCTGGCAGGAGCTAGCATGTCTGGTGCTGCATGCTTGTTGAGATCACGCAAGAATAAAAATACTGGGCTGGGAGGCTGAGACAGGAGGACCTCAAGTCTGAGCCCAGCTTGGGCAACTTAGCAACACAATCAAAAAAAATTTTTGCCAGGCATGGTGGTTCACGACTGTAATCCCGGAACTCAAGAGGCTAAGGCAGGAGGATTGCCATGAGTTCAGGGTCAGCCTGACTACAAAGTGAGACCCTGTCTCAAAAAAAAAATTTTTTTTTCTCCCTCAAAATTTAAAAAACTTGGGTCCCGGATTTAGTTCAGTGGCACCACAGTAGTCTTGCAAGAGCAAGATCCTGAGTTCAATCCCCAGTACCGGACAAGGAAAGAAAACTTTTTTTAAAACTAAAAAGGGGGCTGGGGATTTAGCTCAGCGGTTCGGTGGCCTGCCTCGCAAGCGCAAGGACCCGAGTTCAATCCCCGGGACCAAAAAAACAAAAAAAAAATCCTAAAAAGGGCTGGGGACTCACTGCTCCTGAGCGATCTCCAGGTCGCGGCGGTGGCTCTGCAGCGCGGCCACCGTGTGCCCCAGCTCCAGCTGCGCATTCCCGATGCAGCTGTGCAGGCTGCCCAGCAGCTCATCCCTGTTGGGCACCTCGTCGCGGCCCCAGTCCAGCACCTTCTTCAGCACTTTCTCCGCCTTTTGCAGGCTGCTCTCGGCGCTGCCGCTGCTCAGCACTGGGGGAGGGCGGGGCCGAGGCTCGGGTCCCGCCCCGTGCCCGC